AGAATTATTAGGTCATGCTACAAAAACCTGCAGTCAACAAAATTTGGAACATGTAAAAGAAACAGACAATTTTCTTGATAGGTATCACATACCAAAATTAAATCAAGACCAAGTGAACAATTTAAATAGACCTATAACCTTCAAGGAAATAGAAGTGGTCATCAAAAGCCTCCCAATCAAAAAAAAGCCCAGGACTGGATGGTTTCACTACAGAATTCTACCAGAACTTCAAAGAAGAGCTATTACCTGTATTCCTCAAGGTGAACCACATAATAGAAACAGAAGGAACATTGCCAAACTCTGTTTATGAGGCTATAGTTACTCTGATACCAAAACACACAAAGACTCAACCAAGTAATAGTAAGACCAGTCTTACTCATGAACATACATGCAAAAATACTCAATAAAATACTGGCAAGCCATATCCAGGAACACAGAAAAAAAATCATCCACAATGATCAAGTTGACTTTATCCCAGAGATGCAGAGATAGATCAACATATGAAACTCTATGAATATAATCTACCATATAAATAAACTGAAAGAAAAAACCATATGATCATCTCATTACATGCTGAAAAAGCATTTGACAAAATCCAACACCCCTTCTTAATAAACATCTTGGGAGAGATCAGGGACACAAGGAATATATCTAAACATAATAAAATCTATATACAACAAGCCAACAGCCAACATCAAATTAAGTGGAGAGAAACTCAAAACAATCCCACTACAATGAGGAACATGGCAAGGCTGTCTATTCTCTCCATATCCAGCATAGTTCTGGACATTCTGGTTATAACAATAGGACAAGAAAAGGTGATTAAGAGGATTCAAATTGGGAAGGAAGAAGTTAAACTTTTGTTATTTGCAGGTAATATTATAGTATAAATAAGTGGTCCCAAAAACTCTATCAAAGAACTCCTACAGCTGATGAATATCTTCAGTAATGTGGCAGGATACAATATCAACAAAAAAAATCAGTAGCCTTCTACATCAAAATGATAAAAAAGCTGAGAAAGAAATCAGAGGAATATCACCATGCACAATAGCCATAAATAACATAAAATATTATGGGGTAACACTAACCAAAGAAGTGAAAGACCTGTTCGACAAAAACTTTAAGACTCTGAAGAAAGAAACTGAAAGACCAGAAAATGGAAAGATCTCCCATGCTTTTGGATACGTAGCATCATCATAATAAAAATAGCAATCCTACCACAAGCAATATATAGATTCAATGCAATCCCCATCAAAATCACAACACAATTCTTCACAGACTTTGAAAGAACAATATTCAACCTCATATTTAAAAAAAACCCAGGATAGTCAAAACAATCCTGTACAATAAAGGAACTTCCAGAGGTATCACCATCCCTGATATCAAGCTCTGTTATAGAGCTACAGTAATGCAAATAACCCAGTATTGGCATAAAAACAGAGAGGCTGACCAATAGATCAAATTGAAGACCCGGATATTAGTCCACACACCCATAAATACCTGATTTTTGACAAAGAAGCCAAAAATAGACAATTGAAAAAAGAAAACATCTTCAACAAATGGTGCTGGCATAACTGGATGTCAACATGTAGAAGAATGAAAATAGATCCATATCTATTGCTATGCACAAAACTCAAGTCCAATTGGGTTAAAGACCTCAATACAAGCCAGGCGGTGATGGTGCACGCCTTTAATCCCAACACTCAGGAGGCAGAGGCAGGTGGATGTGAGTTCGAGGCCAGCCTGGTCTACAAGAGCTAGTTCCAGGACAGGCTCCAAAGACACAGAGAAACCCCGTCTCGAAAAACAAAAAATAAAAAAATAAAAAAAGACCTCAATATAAATCTGTCCACCTTGAACATGATAGAAGAGAAAATGGGAAGTAGTCTTCAATGCATGGTCCCAGGAGACCACTTCCTAAATATAACCCCAGTAGCACAGACAATAAGAGCAACAATAAATAAATGGGACCTCCTGAAATTGAGAAGCTTCTGTAAAGCAAAGAACATAGTCAATTAAACAAAATGGCAGCCTATTGAATGAGAAAAAAACTTCACCGACTCCACATCAGACATAAGACTGATCTCCAAAAGATATAAAGAACTTAAGAAATTAGACATCAAAATTCCAAATAACCCACTTAAAAATGGGGTACAAAACTAAACAGAGAATTCTCAACAGAAGAATCTCAAATCTCCAAAAGACACTTAAGGAAATGTTCAACATCCTTAGCCATCAGGGAAATGCAAATGAAAACAACTCTGAGATACCATTTTACAACAGTCAGAATGGCTGAAATAAAAAACACCAATGATAGCTTATGCTGAAGATGTGGATAAGGGGAACACTCCTTCATTGCTGGTGGGAATGCTGGTGTACATCCACTTTGGAAATCAGTATGGTGGTTTCTCAGAAAATTGTTAATCAACTTACCTCAGGACCTAGCAATATCACTCTGGAGCATATGCCCAATAGATGCTCAATCATACTACAAGGACATTTACCCAACTATGTTCATAACAGCATTATTTGTATTAGCCAGAATGTGAAAACAATCTAGATGCCCCTCGAGTGAAGACTTGATAAAGAAAATGTGACACATTTACACATTAGAGTACTACTCAGTGGTAAAAAACAATGACATCTTGAAATTTGCATGTAAATGGATGCAACTAGAAAAAAAAAACCATCCTGAGTGAGGTATCCCAGACCCAGAAAGATGAATATTGTATATACTCCTTCATAAATGGATACTTACAAAGGATATTGAGCCTATAGTTCATGAACCTAGAGAAGCTAAGTAACAAGGTGAACCCTAAGAAAACATATATAGATCCACCTGGAAAGGGGAAATAGACAAGTTTGCTTGACAAAATTGGGAGCATGGGGGTGGGGGAAAAAGGGAGGACAGAAGGGGAACAGGAGGGGAAAAAGGGAGGTGGAAGAACTTGAGGAAACAGGATAGGTGAGATGGAGGAAAGAGATGAGAGCAAGGAAAGAGACATTTTGATTGAGAGAGCCATTATGGTGCTCTCAAGAAACCTGGCACTAGAGAAATTCCCAAGAAACCTAGAGAATGACCCCAGCTAAGATCCTAAGCAAAAGGAGAGAATGCCCAACCTGGCCTTGCCCTGTAGTCAGATTGATAAATATCTTAAATATCACCATCCTTCATCCAGCTACTGATGGAAACAGAGGCAGAGACCTGCATTGGAACACTGGACTCCCAAAGCCCAGTTGACTGGACTTTGGGTGGGAGGAGTGAGAATATGAGCAAAGAGGTCAAGACCATGATTGGTACACCCACTGAAACAGTTGACCTGAGCTAGTGGGAGCTCCAGCTGGACAGGAAAGAAAACAGCATAGGTTCAAACTAGTCCCTCTGAATGTGGGTGACAGTTGTATGACTGGGGCCACTGGCAGTGGGACCAGGATTTATTCCTACTGTTTGTACTGGCTTTTTTGGGACATATTCTCTTTGGATGGATACCTTGTTCAGCCTAGATATAGTAGGGAGGGCCTTGGACCTTACCCTCCCTGAGGAATGGATGGGGGTTAGGATGGAAGAGTAGGTGGATGGAATGGGCAGAGGGGAGGGAGAAGGAACTGGGATTGGTATGTAAAATGAAAAAGATAGTTTTTTTCTTTAAAAAAAAGATAAAAAATGTTTCTCAAAGTATATAGGTTGATATAATTCAACCTTTTTTTCAAGCAGTATCAGGACAGAGAAGGGTTAAGATGAGAAACTGCTGGCCAGCAGAAGAGTCCTTGAGTGTTATCACATTGAAGAAGAGCTTGTCTTAGGAAAAAAAGAGGGGGAGCAGCTCTGGTGGGCACAGAGTATATTCTTGGCTGCCAGTATTCCTGAAAAGAAAATTGTAAATTTCTCCAGTCACAGTCTCAGATTCTTTGTATCACATCTGTGCAGTTTTTCAATTGCAAGCGATCAATTCTCTGCCGCCCCATTCGCATGAGCATGTCTCCCTGTAGTGCCCTCTCTGCCCACCTGCGCATGCTCACCCCCTGCTCTCCACAGGAACTGCTGACTGGCTATGTATCAGAGAACAGTGGAGGGAGGTGGCCCTTACCATTCCTCTCCTTTTGAGAAGTTTTTCTTTTGGCACTCCAAGCCCTGGAACTGATCCAATAAAAATTCACAGGAGTATAGAGGCAGAGGCTGCCTACCTCATCTCCAGGGTAACAAAGAGCAATAGACAAAAACGGACAGTAACGACAGACAGGTACTGGTACCACTTAAGCTTTCTAAAGAAATGAGCACAACAGAATGAGACTGAGAGCTGTCCCCTCCTGTCTTATAATCTTCTCTAGGGCTGGGATGAAAGGCGTGCACCACTGGGATTAAAGGCAAGCACTGTCCGGTTTTTATGGCAACTTGTGTTTCTATGGCAACTTCTATGGCAACTGCGATTAAAAGTATGTGTTACCACTGCCTGGTCTGTAAGACTGACCAGTGGGCTGTTTTTTTTTTTTTTTTTTTTAAGAAATGAGCACAAAACCGAACAGCAACATAGGAACAGTCAAAACAAAGACCATGACAAAGAGCGCTCATCCACTCACTTTTTTTTTTTTAAATCTCTAGACTCATATTCCCTTCTGCAGGAAACAAGGGACACACATCCTTTATACATTTCAAAACTGGATGCAATTGCTGTTGTGCTTCCTTAGTAGCCCTAACCTTTAAAATGTTTACAAGTAAATGTACAAACTCTAAAAATTTACACAGTTGCTAATGTTCTACTTAAGTGCCCCTGGCTTTTAAATTATCTCTAAGTATGCACAAACAGCTGTTTGATGTTTCCTTGGCCCATGGCTACTTTTTACACTTATATTCAAGTCACTTCTTACTGATTTTACATCTATACTTGTGTAACTTCTTACTTGTTTTCTCACACTGCACAACCAACCTCTTTTTTTCTCTCTGTATACTCTTGTGTTTTCTTATCTTTATATTTACACTGCAGGACTCCTGGTAAACTCACCACAGATCTCCCTTTTATTGAGTGTACTCTTTCATCCCGCAGTGACCATCACGTTTATGCCCCATGCCCAGCCCCATGCTTGGTGCCACTCTGTCGAGCCCACTCCAACAGGAATCAGCTGGGAGTACCTGGAAGAGGGCAAAAGGTTATAAGAAATGGTAGATTAAGAGAAATGGAGACAGAAAACAGGATAGACTGGGAGAACTGAAGGTGAATAAATACCAGGCATCCCCAAGTTTATTTCTCAGCCAGCATATATACTAATTATGGGCAAAAGGCAGAACAAAGAGCAGCACAGTCAGCTGACTACCTCCCTGCACTGTCCTTGGGAGGAAGCTCAAGCAGATGCATTATCTCACTCAGTTAAGCAACTTTTAATCTCTAATGAAGAGTGCCTCTGGCTGGCATACGCCAGCCCACATCTTAATAGATAATGTGTTCTTTCATCTTGGCAAAAATTCTCTTTCTTATGGGCTTAATTGGAATTTTCTCGCAACCCTCAAGGATGCAAGCAGAGCAGGAAACTTGAACTCAAATGTTTTAAGTCAGTAATAACTCCAGATGGAAACTGAGTCACACGTGGGCTACCAGACCTATAGTTACATTAAAGAAGAGAGCTTTGGGTTCTTGGAGCAAGAATTTGCAACCTTCTGCAGACATGTATTCTCCCTTTTAGAGAAAGCTTTTGAGATACTTTTGGGCCTCAGTGGAAACCAAACATTAGAGCCACTAAGTTACATGCGACCTGACCTGCATTCCCATCATGACCTGGGTGTTATCTGATCAATCATGTCATCTATTAGGATATTCACAGCAGTAATCTAGTATCAAATGGAAGCGATGTATTTGTGATTTGCCAGTTAATGTCCTGTAGACACATGTAAGTGATAGTAAGGTTTCCACTCAGAATTGCCTTGTAGCCTGTAGACTCAGGGAAGTGGGTTGGTCCCAGGAGGCTTGATGTTGGAGGGGGAACGAATGTTGGACTGTTGCTTTCATCAAAGAGACAGAAGCAGAGCAGGGTTGCGTGAGAAGTTGTGGGTGGGAATAGAGACTAGGTATTGATGGGGGTTCAAGTTTGGGGAAAGCTGGGAAAGCATTTAGACAGGGTTGATTATTCATGGTGAATGGAGCCAGTGGTATCAGTGGCAATTTGGGCAAATTGGGCCATAGCCACATGCAAGGTGGTTCCAGCAGTGGGCAGGGCAGAGGCTTGGTCAGGGAAAGGAATGGGAATTACAAGTATAGGGGTGAGTAGAACCAAGAGAGTAGGGCTGGTGTTGATAAGCTTGCCATGTCTGTGAGTGCCAGGTCAACCATGACATACCAGAGTTTCACACAGACAACCTTTTGCATTCACAACACTTCTGCCACACACAACTCCTATAAACCCAAACACCCATGTAGACTTCTCCAAACACACATGTAAATATGACACCCATGCTCTCACACATACACACACCACAATGTTCAACACATGTAAATATGCCAGTAATAGTCAGATGCTTACCATAAACATATACTCCAATATTTCTGAAAATGTATAATCAAAGCCAGCAAGATGGAGCAGTCAATAATGTGGCTTGCTGCCAGCCCTACTTACTTAAATTTGCTCCCACATGACTGATCCAATTCTCAATCCTCTGTATGTCACATATGCACAGTGGTGTCTGTGTACTCACCTGCAGATATACATAAAAGAAATAAAATGTGCTAAAATGTCTTTACAAGTACATAATTACACAAATATGCTCAAAGATGCTCATCTATTTGGGAGGTGGTGGGTGCCTTAATCATACCTTGCTCCACCTGGGATGCAGCAGCAAGGGCAGGAGCATATGGTCTGCACATCCTGCTGGATCACATAACCCAAATACAAAGGCAGCTGGTGGACTTGGGATCCAGGTATGAGAGGACAAGAAAGAGTTTTTCCATGTGAATGGCCACTAGGCTTGCCTTAAGGTATATTTCCCCATGACCCTTGGGATCTATCTACATGTTTGTTCACACACAAGGGCACTGCCTATTCAGCAAGAAGAGGTGCTTGGATTCCATGAAACATTGAAGTTCCAGATGTGAGTTGCCATGTGGGGCTAGAAATTGAACTGTTTTCTACAAAATGTACTTGCCAGAGTCCAGCTGCAGTGGAATTCTCATCCCAAAGTGATGTAGGTGGGTCTTCTATCTATCTGTTGCTTTCATTGGTTAATTAATAAAAAAAACTGCTTGGCCTGATAGGTCAGAACATAGGTAGGCAGGGAAAGACAGACAGAATGCTAGGAGGAAGAAAGCAGTGAGGCAGACACCATAGCTCTCCTCTCTGAGATGGATGCAGGTTAGAATCTTCCTGGTAAGTCACCACCTCGTGGTGCTACACAGATTACTAAATATGGGTTAAAGGAATATGTGAAAATTAGCCAATAAGAGGCTGAAACTAATGGGCCAGGCAGTGTTTAATTGAATACAATTTGTGGGTTGTTATTTTGGGTGTAAAGCTAGCTGTGCGGGAGCTGGGCGGGATGAAAAGCAGGCCTGCTCGCCTCATCACTACACCAAAGAGGAGGTGTAGAGTCATTAATGGAAGGAAACTGACAATATCTGAGAGTGAAGTAGTATAGTGGCTGGTTTATTTTAAAACACTACACCTTTTGTACTCTATAGCTTTGCAATAGTTTAGCCATAAGCAAGAATGAATGCAGACTTAATTATTTTGGGATGAACCAGGCCATCAACCATATCACAGCGTTATTACTGAGGAAAAAAGCAGTGCATTCAGCAAAGTACATAAATGCCTATCTGAATGTGAGCCCATTGTTTCTTTCCATAATGTGCCTTTATCCCTGAGACCAGGTGTGTCCTGTCCTCTATTCTTGGTGTAACTGTGGGGGGGCACAATACAGATTCTTTTGTTGGAGTAGGCAGAGTTATATTATATAGTTTCATGAGGTGGGGGGACTTTTTTTTTCCAAAGAATTATTTTGTTTAAAGAAACTGCCACTTTGTACATCCTTATTCTCCACTGAAGCCCACACAAAATTTCCCAAAGGAAAGGCATAAGGAAACTCCCATAACACGTACTGAGAATTACTAAAAATGAAAGTAGAAAGATGTTGGAGAATTGTGATCAGCAATGTTACAACACTGGAATTTTGAGAAGCAGCAAATAGTTGTTGTGTGCTCCATGCCAGGTACTAAATTGTGAAACCATCTCAAAATTCTTATTTCTTTTAAAATTTAATGATTATTATTTGTGCATACAAATGCAAAGTATAATTTGAAATCAGATGACAGCCTGCATGATGCAATCCTCTCCTACCATCTGGGTCCCTAGGGACCAAAGCATCTCCATCAGTTTTGCTGGCAAGCCTTGATCTTTTTTGTTAATCATTGCTTTTGAAGTTTGGTTTTTAAATCAGGCTCATGAAGTTCAGGCTGACCTTGAAATCATGACCTTACTGCTTCCACTTACAGTTACTAGAATGAGAGGTTTCAATATCATGCCCTCTTTATGCAGACACAGTGAATGCTTGCTTCTTGCTCTACTGAATGAGACCCATCTGAGATGAAAACATTCAGTATACAAAAACTTAATTCCTAGTCACCTGATAGAAACTAAAATCTGAAATCATGTACAGGAGGCTAGATGAAGCTTTTTTCTACAATTAGTACTCTATATGGCCATTAATATCATGACAAAAGTTTAAAATATATATACATATAATTTCATAAATTTTGAGGTAATATTTATACCTTATGAAAAGTTTAAAAGAGTAAAAATAAAATTAAAGAATTATGAGATTGATGGTAATAAAAAAGTTCCTTAACTTTGGTTTTTCTTCTGTCCCATATTAGGTGGCTCCTCTGATGTAAGAGATTTTAGATTTTCCTTTAAGAAGCATGCTTGGGTTTTAGAGAAGGAGAGAGCCACACCCCAACTCCAAAGCCAGCTTTGATTTTTAATTGAACTAGGACTACTAAAAGACCATTTGCCTTATATGTTTTGAGAGAACATCATAAACAAACATTTGGGGATATTTATGAAATTTTATCGTGTTGGAAATGTGATATATTATTAGGTCAATGTCCTCTTTCTATTGGGCCATTTTCTCTGGATTATTTATTCTCTTTCTTCAGTTGTCTTTTTTTCCCCAGTAGTCTTCAGGTTCCTTAGCTGTATGCCTTCATTCTCCACAAAAGACAACAACAAAATCCTGCTCCAACCCTAACCTTCGAGAGTTTCTTTTTTTTGGCAAGTTACTGTTGATGAAATGAAAGTCATTTGTTAGTCTTATATGTTAGTTTATATTGAGTGGTCATGCTGTGTGAACTATTGGCTCATTGAACGAAGAGGTCTACCCTGTTCAAATCTAATCTTTATCAATTTTGAGGGTACCCATAGCTTCTCCTGTGGAAACAAACACAAAATCTCTTTCCCAATGTAACACATATCCTGGCTTCCATTCTGAGATCAATACATCTTTAAAGTATACAGGCTGATTCAGTTCAGCAAATGTTTTCTATTATTTAATGTCTCTCTGTAGCTGTCATTCTTTTCTCATTAGCATTTAAAAATTAAGATAATAAAGCATTGTGAAATCTATCTCTTTGGGTCTTTATTACCCCTTTCTGTTTATTAAGCCTGTTTTTTAGAGTTTGATCCAATATTCCTATAATTGCCTGTTCTGTAGGATTGTGTGGTATACCTTCAATATGTTTTATGTTGTGATATGCAAAAGTCTGCTTCATTTTACTAGAGATATATTTTGGAGCATTGTCAGTCTTAATTTGTACAGATATCCCCATGATGTCCATAATTTTTTAATAAATATGTCATTACAGAATCAATCTTTTTAGAACTGAAAGCAGATGTCCATTGAAACCTGAATATGTATCTATGGTATGGTGTACATATTTTAACTTTTCAAACTCTGCAAAACTGAAACATATCTATGTGTGAAACTTTATTTCTTTGAGTACCATTTGAGTTTCTTCATGCATGTAGTAGAGTGTGATTGTACAAAGAACAAGTAGGACAGTTCTTTATAATTCCCTTGGTTTGTTACCAAGTTATAGAAAACTCTTTTTACAACCCCTTGCTATAAACATGGTGCTTCTTATGAAATTCTGAGGTTTCTAACACATTTCCTACAAATAACTGATAATTTCATCACTACCTTTTGCTAGAGGGCCTGGTAGAACCATACAGGATCTGATATGTGCTACATACAAGGGATGATTTCTATTTTTGCTAGTTTCTTTTAATTGAATAAATAACATAGTTAATTTGGAATCACCTGGAATAAGTTCAACAGTTTTAGTATGTAAAACAATGTTTTTTTTTTTTGCATATTGAGAGTCAGTAACTGTATTAAGAGTTTCTGGAAAATCTAATAATACCATTAGAATAGCATATATCTGACATTTGAACAAAATCATAAGGGCTTTGAGCCACTTTACTTAAATTTCCTGACTTATAACCTGTCTTTTCTGATTTGTTAGCACTAGTATATAATGTAGGGACTCCAGAAATTCATATTCCTGTACAATGTGAGGAAGGATCCAAGTAGTTCTCTTTATAAACTGAAGTCTCTTGCTTTGGGAATATTTGCTGCTAATCTCTGCAAAAAATACTGTAAGCTCTTTGCCAATGTCCATTTTCTGCCCAGGATGAGGAAATCTCAGTATTAGTGAAAGATATCACAATTTCCACTAGCTCAATTCCTTGTAATTAATGAAGTCTTAATTTTCCTTTCAGGATCACTTCAGAAAATTTTTCTACATAGGTCTTTAATTTTTACTCAGTTTGTATGGTTAAAAATATCTATTCTAAGATATTATCTTCTCTCTGCATTAGAATTCCAGTAGAAGAATGCATGGAAGGTAAAATAACAAGAAAAATCAAGCTGTGGATCAAGAGTTACACATGTGCATCCTGTAATTTCTTTTCTATCAAACCCAATTCTCTCTCAGCCTCAGCAGATAATTTTTTGATACTATTTAAGTCCAAATCAACTTGTAAGAGTTTACATAAATTATTTAGTTCTTGAACTGCCAATTCAATTGTGGGCCATATCCAGTTATTATCTCCCAGTAGTTTTTGAAAATTGATTTCTTCTGATTTGTACTTTATGCAGTTGAATTTTCTGTAAACTTATATCCTAGATAATTAATATACTCTCCTCTTTGTATTTTTAAGGAGCAAAATTTTTCACCAATAAGGCAATTTTTTTACTTCTTCAAACGTTTTACCTAAGGTATCTGCACCTGAATCAGCTAGTAAGATATCTATATAATTGTAAATTATATAAATTATGGATTATTGCCAATGGATGTTGTACAAAATATTGACAGAAGGTAGGGTTCTTTAACATTCCTTGTGGAAGAATTTTGTACTGATATTTTTTTAACAGGCTTGGAATTACTATAAGTAGTCATTGTGGAGGCTAATTTTTCCTCTATCCTGCTCTTGAAAAGGTACAGTTAAAAAAAAGCAGTCTTTTAAATAAATCACTATAATAAACCATTCTTTAGGTAATAGAGAAGGCAAGGGAATTCCAGACTGTAAAGAACCCATTGTTTGAGTCACCTTATTAATATCTCTTAGATCTGTTACCATTCTCCATGTTCCAGATTCCTGTTTAATGACAAATTAGGAGAATTCTAAGACTTGTCAATTATTTGATATGTTGAGCATTTAGCTGCTCCTGTACCAACTGTTCTAATGCTTGTAATTTTTCTGATGTCAAAGGTCATTGTTCCACTCAGACAGGTTTGTCAGTTAACCATGTTAATGGCAGGACTGTTGGTACCTTTGAAAGATCAGTGACAGTTATGTTCTGTATATGTACAATCTGAATCGTTTTTGACTGTTCTTTTTAATTACTTTTAGTATTTTTCCTAGAAACATACATTAGGTTATGATTTGTTTTTTAAATTGGAGGAATGTTAATTTGAATATTCCATTGTTGTAACAAATCACATCCCCATACATTTACTGCTATGTTAACCACGTATGGCTTTAATTTTCTTTCCTGTCCTTCCAGTCCTATACATTACATTTGAACATCTCATGTTTTATTTTACCTGAGGTAAACTCCAATTCCTATAAGATTCACATTTACCTCCTTAAGAGGCCAATTTGGATGACAAGGTTTTGGTGCAATTATTGTTACATCTGCCCCTGTATCTGTCAAACCCTCAATTGTAATGCCATTTATTTATATCTTTAACTTTGGTCTTTGATCATTCATAGAACTTTGCCAAAGTAATTGCTTTAAGCCTAATAAAGCTGCCCTATAATTCAGAGTTGTATGAATTTGCATAACAAGCATTAAGCCTATGAAGGATTTTGCCCAATGCTGACAGGGGATGATAGAACAAAATTTTATGTGAGGGTCTGTGAAAGGCCTACCTTGACTGTTACATATTGATCTGCATTCATTAGTCCAATGTTGGTCTTTGTCACACGTTCTGCATGTTCCAGAATGTTGGTGATTTATGTTTGGATTCTCTCTAAAAAACACATTTTTCCTAAGAACATTTTGCCTACAATCCCTTTTCATATGACCTGGATTACCACAATTAAAACATCTAAACTTTTAAATTTTCTTAAAATTTTAGAAGTCACTTACTATCCAAGTATCATCATAAAAACGAGATCCAACATCAGGTATATTTTTAATCCATTCATCTGAGGGTATAGATCTCACTTTTATAGGCCTGATCATCTTTTTACATTCTGAATTAGCATTTTCAAAAGCCAAAGATTCAATTAATATTCATCTAATTTTTGGATCAGATATCATTATACTTATGGCTAAAGTCTTCTTTGTGAAACAAAAAGAGTCAGAAAAATTTGTTTTGGGGCCTTGTATAATTTTACTAATTTGCTCAGTCCTTTTTCCTAATTCTTCAATCTTGCCCCAAGCATTCAAAGCTCTGTATTACTTAGGACCAAGATGTGACCGTCAAATGTAATCTGTCTTTTTCACATCAGTATAATGGCCCTCATCAAGGATTTGATCTTGGGTAATCTTATAACATCTAACCCTACCTTGCTGTTC